GACAGCAAGCTTACAAAGAACTGTGTCTCTCACGGGTTGGTTTTCCTCAGTTGATGGAGCACTCCTTAGGGGAAGGGGCCTCGCCTTATCCATAGCCACATGCCCCACAACCAGCCAAGGCCTTGTCTCAGCAGGTGCCCAGGGGACATGTCAGAGTCCAGAGGAAGACAAACTGGGGACGGGCATTCCAGGCAGAAGAAACAGGATGAACAAAGGCCACCTTTGTCTGACCACAAGGAGTGAGCTAGAGGGAGGGTGGTAGGAGGTGAGGACCCTGGACATCGCAGTGGTCACGGAAGCTGTTACAGAGAAGGCAGGATGCTGAGCAGCACCTTGCAAGATGTGAGCAAAACAGGAGTGAGCAGGACAAGTTGGCCCTGAGAGAAGAGCATGGAGGGCAGAACTAACACCCACGAAGGCCAAGAGACTGAGGGCTCAGGGGCAGGTACAGGGAGGCTAGGATGGGGCTGGGCTTAGTGGGTAACAAATACCAGGCCAGGGGCTTGGGATCGAAACTATGCTCCGTGGGACACCAGTGCTCCAGATATATTTAAAATGTGAATATTTCATGGTTTCCTAGAATTTCAAGGCACTTCTTCATAGACAAATTTGAGAACCATTTTTGCAATCGATAACAAGCAACATACTAATCACAAAAACTGTCATTTAATAAGTGACTACTCTGTGCTAGTACTGTGCTAACTGTTCCGTACAGCTTTGTCTTATTTGATTTTATTGCTCTTATTTGAGCTCTGGGAGGTGGCACAAATATGCTCTCCACTTGAAGATAAGGAAACCCAGGCTAGGAGAGGTTAACTTGACAAGCTCACCAGCTGGAGTTGCTGGAAGGGATGTGGCTGGGATTCGCTCAACCCTGGGGCATCGGAGAACAGAACGCTAGCCCTTGACCAATGTACCATGTCTTGGCCTCCTCCCTGTGGGAGTGTCTGGGCTGCAGGGTTAGGAGGAGGTCACAGAGGGCAGAGAAGTCAAGGAGGAATATCTTAGGACCTAGAGAAAAGGTGTCTCCTCCAGCCCTCCAAGGAAAGGGTCACGGCCCAGGACAGAATTAGACACAGGGGCAGGAAGAAGATCCAGCACAAGCCACAGAATGGGAAAGAATGCTTTTGAAAGCTGATCTGGAAACCCTCCCTCTGTGTCTATATTTCTGCCACATGAATCATCTACACCCAGATGGACCTTGCTCTTTAAGCCAGCGCCGCACCACTGCCATCAGAAGACAGGCGTGAGGACGTGTTGCTGGGGCTGCCTGGGCAATGACAGAGGACAGGCTGGAATGACAGGGCAGCCATGTTCCCAAGAAGCAGATTACAGGAACCCTGCCCACAGCCTCAGCAGTGCCAGCCGCTGCTCGGGGCCATCACAGTTTCCCAAGTAGCTATTGTGGCTATGATTGGAAAGGGGTCACGGTCACGTGGTTCAGATAAATGTAATTTTGTTGGCTAGAGAGAATGTTCTGGAATGTTGTATTCTGGGCCAGGTCCAGGCTATAAGTGAGAGGGACTGCCTGGCAAAGAAATAATTTATTGTATCTGTGCAGAACATTACAATTTGCAAAGCCCTTTGTGATCTTTACCTCTTTTGAGATGGACAATAATGTCATGAGATGGGTGAGGAAACTCAGGCACCGAGAAATCAAGTGATTTATGCAAAATCACATGGTAATGGATGGCAGAAGCACACATGCCACTAAGCCTTTGTGTTCTAAGTCAGTTTGGGTCTCTAAACCTCTACTAACAAGTGCTCTACCGAGTGACAAAAATGAAGCAAGCAAGAGAGGACTCCAAGGAGAAAATGATAATATTTTCTCTCAATCTCTGTACTTGAAATGCAGGGTAAAACAAATTCCAAACATCTAAAACTTTATACACAGGCAGAGTGTTTTCACCTACATTATTTTATGATACCTCTAAAAAGGCAGGCAGGGAAGTGAGTGCAGGTGATTTACAGAGAGAGAGGGGGCAGGGGGGTGGGGACACAGGGTGGTAAAGATTCAGCTGGAGAGTACTTTGCATCTGGCCCATGCTCCTCCTTTCTCCCCAGGCCTGGAAGCATTTAGTGTGGGTAAGTGGTGGAAAATGGTCACAAGGCTGTGGTTCCATTTACTAGACATGATCTGTCCAAACCAGCGGCTCCCTCTGTCTGCCCTTCAGTCCCCCACGGTGTGGGCCCCTTGTTCCACCCCGATGGCTGCCCACTGTGGCCTGTCCACAGCAAGACAAGCAGCAAAACGGCCATCCTGGCCTTCGCCCCGCCACTCTGACCATGCCAGGGTTCTGTGGCTTGACTGTGCTTGCCAGAGCCCACATGATACTCCTGGAATAGCTGCCACCATCAAACAGATGCGACCACACATTCCCCCAGGATGACCCCTGAACGCGTCCACGTTGCAAAACTCTCCAATGCCCTCACTTTTTGATGGCATGGGTCAGGACTTGTTTCTCGGGCCCTGCCCCTAAGTGCTGCTGGCTTAACCTTCCTACTGTCTTAAACCATCCACCTGAGGGCTGAGTCTGGCATCCTGCCTGCGACCCAAAAGCCTGGAGTTCAAGATCTCTGGATGATGATTATCCCCGCCTGGTACTGGTCACTTCCTGAATTCCTCTCAAAGGCCTCTGCCAGCCTGCCCGGGAGCCCTGATGCCTGGTGCCCAGCCCCTGGAGGAACCTCTCTGGGTATGGGGCTGCACTTGAGGACCAGTCTCAATGATTGCCTGTGAATGATCACCCTGTCCATTGGAGACACTGCCCCATTCCTTCTCTCTTCACTTTGGGGTCCTCCTGCTATAGCCTGGAAACACCCAATGTCCCCTGACAGAAGGGCTCATAGACACACCGTGCATGTCCGCCAGGCAGTATACGGCAGTGCAAACGAGGCAGGACCAACAGCCCGGATGGACTTTTGAAAAATCGCAAGTGGTGGACAGGAATGTTGCAGAAGACTCCAGGCTTTATAATAGTGTTTTTATAAAGCTTAAAAGCAATCCGAACAAGACAGAATAGTGGTTAGGAATACATTCGCGCATAATGAAAGTATTTTTGAGAAGCAAGGGAATGCTAAACATAAAATCCAGGATGTGGCTGCCTTGAGGGTGGGAGGGGAAAAGGGGGTGGGGGAGACATACTAACCCAAGCTCTTGGGTTGGGAGGTGGCTGGGGATGAGCATTTCATTCGGCTTCATGGCTTACAAATGTGTTCCATATATTCTTTTTATATACACATCAATTGCTACAAAACAACATTAGAGTAGATGGAGAGGGGCCCAGAGGGGCCCTTCTTGTCTTTTCTTCCCCATTCTGACTTATCTGCTGGCAGAAGAGAGTGCCTACTAGGGCCTATGGTCCTTGTTCCTGTCCCACCACCCTGGCAGCTAAGTGACCTGAAGGTGTTCTGCGTTCTCCATTTCCCCCCTCCCACGCACCGGCTCATTGCTAAAAACAATTCTCAGGGAGTCCCCAGTACACCTGCTGGTGATGAGGGGCAACTCGGCAGGGTCCACGCAGCTGGCCCGTCCCGTGTCTTCTCTGAGGGCCCTTCCTCGGCATTCCAGGACCTCCTCTCCTGACCCCCTCCCTAGATCTCCACACCACTGCTGGCCTCCTTCGCTGGCTCCCCCGTCTCTACCCAATGGTGCCCACGGCGTCTTCTGGCCTCTCCTCACCCTGAGCTTTGCATGTCTGCGGTCACATCGCAACTCTCACGAATTCCTATCTCTTTCTCTAGCCCAGACCTCTCACTCCTGAATTCCACCCCAATACCCAATGTTCTAGCCACCTGCTCCACTGGAGTGTCTCGTAGGTACTTCAAGCCTAACTCCTGGACCCCCACCACTAGCCTGGTCCCCTCGGGTGGCCTCTGTCCACCCACCCAAGTGCCCAAGCCACTTGCGAGCCTGACTCCGTTCCTCCTGTCCCTCTTTGCCACCAACTCTTTTCTTCCTCTCAATCCCATCCTGTCACCAAGTCTAGCCATCCAACCTCCTTAAATGGCACTGCCATTGATCCTCTCCATCTCCACCAAGACTTCCCAATCCAGCCAGCACCTCCCTTGCCTGTAGGAAAGCAACTGCCTGGTGTCTTCCCTGCCCCGGGCCTGGCCTCCGTCCATTCCTGCGGGTGCTGTGTTCTTTGGAGCATGCACTTCTGAGTACAGCCTGTCCTCTGGTGGCCCCCACTGCCTCGGGCTCTCCACGACTTGTCCTATCTACTTCTGCCACCTCACCTCCCTCCACCTCTCTGCCTGAAACCCCCCACTAGACCCAACCCCTCTTAGCGCCCCAACTTACCATGCTTCCCTCTTCCCTCTAGGGCAAAAGCGGGTCTCCCCCAGAACACTCTGCCACTCCCACTCCTTCCAGCCCTGCCTGCTTCATCTCCTTCTTCAGGTCCCAGTTCAACTACCATTTTCTCCGGGAAGCCTTCCCTGACCACTCCCCACCCGGAGATGTCGGATGCACCACATCTCACAGCACCTGGGACCCAGGACGTGACTGATTTGATTCTAGCACTTGCAACACTCTATAATAATTGCCTAAGTATTTTTCTCCCACTTTTGAGACTCTGCGTCAGCCAGCAGGAATCTGACCTACTGTCTCACTGGTACCAAGACAATGCCTGACCCCTGCTAAGTGGCGGCAAAAATTGTCAAATGAAGGTATGAAGGTACAAATGGCACCCTGCCTCCCGTATGGTGTCCCGCTGAATTCTAAAAGAATCCTTTAAAGCAGGTACTGTTGGTCTTGTTTTATAGGCAACAAAAAGGAAGTGACTTACTTATCGAGAGTACACAGCTAGTGAACAGAAAGCTAGAAGTCAGGCCCAAGTTTTAACACCAAAGCCCACACTGGCCACCATCCTGTCCCCACCTGTGACCATCCCCCCCAGCCCCTGACCCCTCATCCCATGGTCAAGCCAGGGAGCCCTCCCTAGGCCTGGCCTGGTCAAGACCGGGAACTCAGGGCAGGAACTGGCAGTGGTTACCTGGAAGCAGGTGGGCCCCGGCCTCCCTGTGGGGATGTCCGACTGGTAGAAAACTTTGAGCTCTGGAGTCAGGGCGATGACAGTCTTGATCACCAAGGAGATGATGTCAGACCAGACCTTCTTGATGTCAACACCTTTGGAAGACAACTTACAAAGAATGCTGGAAAAAGTCCTTTTGCTGCCCGTGCTGGCATTATCCGAGTGGATGAAGTTGCTGCTGTGGATATTCAGTGAATAGTTGGTTAAGTGCATAAAGACCCGGTGCAGATTTTGGGAACTGGGCTCCTGATATGGCTCTGTACAAAATCTAGAGAGTCCATCTTTGGCTATATAAATCTCTAAGGGGTCTAGGGATTTCAGCAAGACATACAGACGAATGTCAAACTTGAGCTTGTCGATAAGGAGAGGTTTGCAGATGTACTCCTGGACAACTGCTGGCCTGGTCTGGAGGGTCCCAGTCAGCCGGATGTCACTGGGGTCTTTAATGAGGTAGATTCCATCACCTTGACAGCCACCGTCAGGTTTCACAATGAAAGTGGGCTTCCAGGAGGGGTTGTCATCTTTTACCATTTGAATCTGGGAAGGGGAAAAAGAATGGTTAGCATTATTCTCTTTTCCTCTCTGGATCCCCAACACAGCAGGCCCTCGGGGAAAACATTTGGTGGACAAGGAACAAAATGATCCCCGCCTACTGAGTACTCGCCACGCATCTTCCACAGGGATGACACAGGGAAGTTCTGAGACAGTGGCATAACAACCGTCCTCAATCTTCTGTTTCAGAGGGAGAAGGAGAGTATAGGGGTTGGCAGTCACAAAACCTGGGTTCAAATCTCATTTTGCGGGTTATTACTCCTCCCTGGAGCAAGCCATATGCCAAACAATGATGATGAGAATATGCAGGGTGGTCAAATGCCCTTTGTGAATGCCAAGGATGTGCCAGGTACTGCACTAGGCAAGTTATTTCATCTAACCTCACAAAAACATGGCTGCTCCTTTTTTGCAATATTGGAAACACACAGGGCGCCCCCACTGTTAAGAATGGGTATTGCATTCAGACTGCCTGGCCCTTCCACTTAACTATGTGACTTGAGCAAGTGACAGAAGTTATCTGTGCCTTTGTCATCTGCTAAATATGACTCGGCTGAGGATTAAATGAGAAAATATATGCAGCAGGCTGTGAAAGACAACCAACCCCCCCCCCGTCTACTATTATTAAAAGATAAAATTTTTCTGCTAATCAGAGGTGGAGGGCAGAAATCTAGATCAATGCCTCTAAAGCCCTTGTACCTTCCTCTGTATCACCATGTCCCTGTTCCCTCACTTCAAAAGTGATGTGAAATTGCACCCTCACCTGGGCCAAGCATAACACCAAGCAGAGCTGACACACAGGAAGTGCCCATTTTATCACTTCCGTCCATTCCTAAGTTCAGCTAGTAGACTCGCCCGTCCTTCAGTCTGCTGAGATCTCTTTGAAACTAGATTTTGTCATCCACAATATTTGCTTTCCTTCCAGCTCCGGGACAGCAAGACACTCAGTAATTAATTATCCAGGCCCCTGAGCAGTCCAGGTCCTGACCTGCAGTTGGGCCTCATTTCACACACTCCTGATCCCTCCAGTGCTGTGGACTGAGTGTGTTCCCCAAAATCCATATGTTGAAAACTGGATCCCCAAACTCATATGTGAAAATGGAGCTGCGCGAGTGAGCTTCACATCACTGTGACAAAACACCTGGGAAAAGCCACTTAGAGGAGGAAAGTTGAATTTTGGTTTGTGGTTTCAGAGGTTTCAGTCCATGGTCACTTGTTCACGCCGTTGGGGGCGCCTGCTGTGAGGCAGCACACCATGTGGAAGTACGTGAAAGAGGACACTGCTCACCTCATTGCAACCAGGAGTAGAGAGAGAATAAGAAGAGACTATGGTCCCGGATCCCCTTTAGAGACGCGCCCTCAGTGACCTCACTTCCTTCCACCAGCCCCTGCCTCCTAGAGGTCCACCCCCTCCCACAGGCTGGCCAAAAAGCTTTCTACCCATGACCTGTAGAGGATAGTGACAGTCCAAATTGTAACAAGCTTTTAAGGGGTAATTAGAATTTGATAACATCAGGAAAGTAGAACCCATAACAGCATTAGTGGCTTTGAAAGAGGAGGAAGAGAGACCCAAGCTAGCTTGCTTGCTTTGTCTCGCTCTCCACCGTGTTATAGTGCAGTGCGAAGGCCCTCACCAGATACCAGCACTTGATGCTGAACTTCCCAGTCTCTGTGACTATAAGAAATAAATTTCCTTATAAATTACCTAGTCTCAGGTATTCAGTTATAGCAACAGAAAAATGGACTAAGACACCAGACTTTGTGCGATGCTCTGGGCAACTATGGAGAATAGATGGACAAAAAGGCAGGAGAGGAGGTTTTCACCAGGAGAGTAGAGTCAGAGGAAATGGAAAGGTGGAAACAGAGGAAGAGAAAGCCATAGAATTTGAGGCTTCTGGCATGTAGCTGAGAGCAGACCCCGGCCGGCCGAGTGGGTGGCTTGTCCTGGTGCTGCACCCCATGGCCCCCACCTCTGCTGTGTAAGCCTGACCCGGGACATCTGTACTCGGGATGTACTTATCTCTTCGACCAGCCCATATTTCTAAGTGAAGCTTTTGCCAATTCCTCGGGCACTATCAGTTATTCCGGGCTTGTAAAAGGTCTTTAACAATGGAGAAACACTTAAAGCCTTAATAATGGTCCACATCAATTGTTTCCCCCTTGTCAGCAGGATTCGAGAATGGAACTTCACAAGAGATCAATGCCAGCCTCCCAGGGCCTTCCACAGAGCCCTTCGTGCAACTGTGACCTTGACGCTTATGTAGTTACTTAATATTCATCCAAAGCATTCATACACGTGGCGCTTTACAGTAAATATGAGAGTCCCGGACAAATGGCAGTTATGGATCAGGAAGTGAAAAATGTCAAGTTTGCACTGATGGCTAATTTTTCCCTCTGGAAAGCGTTTGCTGTGCCAAAGATACTAACAGCTCAATATATTATGAGGAGTGATATTTTCTCCTTTGAATTCAGTGTATATGCCTTAAATAAATTAAACTGCCTGGTCAATAGTCTCTGTCATTCATTGCAGTACTGAATATTTCTTCTGCTCTTTGCCTGAGTAGTGACTACAAACCCAGACTATTAATACTAATAGAATCATTGAATTTTTAGACTTGAAAGTATCCTTGGAGATCAACATCGTCCAATCCTCTCATGATTCAAAGGGGAAGCTGAGGCTTAGACAAGTGACATGACTTGCCCTGGGTCCCATAACGGACTAGTGGGATGGTTAGGCTGAAAACTGAGGTTTCCTGATCCCACCTCACATTCACTATTTCCATTTTTGCCTTTGGTAAGATAAAATTCTCTTCTGATTATTACAGGGGAGACTCTCTCAACATGTCAGGCAATAATGGTGTCTGAGCACTGGCTTCACACCAAAGAGTTTGGCCCCTTGGAACTGTATCTGTGGATCCTGAGCTGGCCAGTTTTCTCCAGTTTTCAGAAATCTCCTGTCTGGGTGGGTTCCCGACTGGTTAAAATATAGGTGTGATCTATAGGAAAGCTTCATATTGCTCAGAATGTGGTTCCCATAGCCACAAGACCCTTTAGACACTTACTGGGGGAAAGGAAATGATTTTTCAGAATTTATACCCATTATGCTCTGAGGTTTTTATTCTAGGGAGACCCCACTCCCACCCCCCACTGCCAATTACTAAAGCTAAGAACGAATACACTGGTTCTTATACCTGGGTCCCAGCCCCAGAAATTCTGACTTAGGTCTTAGCTGAGACCTGGGCATGTGTATTTAGGAAAATCACTACAGGTGATTGTGATGTGTACTCCCTGCAAGAATCATCAAGCTAATGTGAGTTAAATAAAAATACAATCTGAAACCATCATCTCGCATGAAGTTCTCCGGCGGGGTGTCAGCAAGAGTGTGAGGAAGACTTGCACTGAGACTACAGCTGATGGTATCTCTGGTTTTCGCCAAAACTGCTGCTGGATGTGAAATCCATGATCTCCGTAACGTATCGGTGGACGGCTCAAAGAGATACCGAGGATGCGGTGGCCAGATTACTCGGCACCCATCAGGCTTACTGAGGAATTTCTGCATCTTTTACCGCCCCCTAGTGGATGTTTAGGAAATGCTCCTGGGAAAGTCGCCTTGTTCTAAAACTGCAACTCCACTGAGATGTTAAAGCATCATCACAGCAAATGGAATAGCACTCAGCGTGAAGAAGGAAGGAAATTCTAACCATGACAAGGACAGACCTTGAAGACAGAGTGCCAGGGAAGTAATCCAGACACAAAAAGACCAACACTATGATTCCATATATGTGAGGTCCACCGAATAGTCAAATTCTTAGACATGGAACAGGACAGGTGGTGGCCAGGGGGTGGGGTTATGGGAATCGGGTTGTTAGTGTTTAATGGGTATGGAGTTTCCCTTTTTCAAGATAAAGAAAGTTCTGGAGATAGGTGGCAGCCATGGTTGCACAAGACGATTGTACTCAATGGCCTAAACTTCAGTTAAAAATGGTTGTGACAATAAATTTTGTTATGTATATTTTACCGCGATTTTTAAATTAAAATTTAAAAAAAATTTAAATAGCTTTTGATGAGTTGGAGAAAAAATATCGAGGTGAAAAACAGAAAATCTGGATTTGGGTCCCAGTTTTGTTGGGCGATTTCTGACTGTGTGACCTTGAGAAAGTCGCCTGACCTCCTGAGCTCTGTTGTACTCACCTATAAAATACAGGGGCCACACTAAGGTTCCTGGCTTCAGCCCAGCTAACAAGTGCGGAACGGTGATTTATCCTGACATCTCCACAGTTGAAGGCTGTGTTACAAACACGCAGGTGGCATTAATCACCCCGAGAGGTCACGCTGTGCTGTTGTGATCAGCGTGCTGGGATGCTCTAGAAGAGTGGGAGATTTATGATGCATCTGAGGAAGTCAGCTGGGCGTCTGGGAGAAGCAAGCTAAAATATTTGGAGGGAGAAATGAGGCGGCTGGAATACCAAGCCACAAGACGCTATTCGCAGTGAGAGGCAGGGAAGAGGACGGTTTCTGAAGAAACACTGGGCTTGCAATACCAGGGAAGTCAAAGCCAATCAGAGCAGCCCTTGGTCACTCAGGAGGATTTGCATTCAATCTCAGCCGCACAGGCCCTTGGTGTCATAGGTACAGGCTGCAGATCTTAAGCAAAGACAAGCTTCTGTAGACAAAATAGGTATCTCGAAGCGCATGCTGGCAGGAGGCAGGCGGTGGGGGGTACCCGCTGCAGCAGCCTGCGCCTGGTACCCAGGGCAGGTTCCTACTCCCAGTGCTCGAGGCAATTCCTGAGGCCGGTTCAGACTGAAGGCAGCCTGTGGGCAGGTTCCCAAGGCTAAACAGGAAGGACGAGAAGGGCCAGTCAAGGGGCAGAGCAGGAGGTGGAGTGGTGGGGCCAAGAGGAAGAGCTTGAGCAAATAATAGAAGGCAGGAGAGAGCAGGGGACTCCAGGGCACGGCAAATGGAGGAGATAGCAAGGGTGAGAGGAA